AGTCACCCAAAAAATTCCCATTTCTGACAAACAAGATGTGTGTCAGTTTTAAGAGTATTCTTTAATTTAGACATTGTTAAGGCCTGTTGTCATTCTAAAAGGTCTATTTTTAAAATTCCATATATTCATTAGACTCTGCAAATGTAAATGAAAGGAACATAGGTAAACCCACATGAGATTATTACAATAAATTGCTACAGAGCCTCTTAAACCTCTATATTTTGTTCAGTTTATTCAAAGAACTATGCATATTTCAATGTATAAAGTGTTTAGGTTATGCAAATGTGTACAAAATACAAAAAAAAAGAAAAACGCTTGTGAAGCAAAAAAATGTGTGTTTGTAAGAAACAAATCTATCATTTAGGTGTTTTTGACTTCAAACTGTGGCATCTGGCTGAAATATAAGTCCTCTATCCATAATGTTGCTTCCAGCAGTGAAAAAAGTTAAATCTGCACAGATCAAGCACCGTTTACAAGCCAAAACAGCTCTAAACAAATATATGGGTAGATTTTGATGTGAGAGACAACAGGAGATGCACATTTTCACTGGAGGAAGCGTTGTTTTTTTTAATTATGGATTTTGGACTATTTTGGCCATGTCACTTTTCACTTCACAAGATGTTAACTGATGGACTGGAGTACTGTGGATTATTGTGATGTTTTTATCAGCTCTAATCCTGACGGCACCCATTCACTGCAGAGCATCCATTGCTGAGACAGTGATGCAATGCTACATTTCTCCAAATCTGATGAAGAAACAAACTCATTTGGATGGCCTGACGGTGAGTAAATGTTCAGCAAATTGTATTTTTGGGTCAACTATTCCCTTAAAGGGGAGGTCTTATCTACAAACTAAAGTCTATATACTAAAACCGTATACAAACAAAATGTTGTTGTGGAACATTTAGTCAATATATAATCATTCTGTTTTATGGGCTAATCATGCAGAAATGTCTGTCAAGACAAAACAAATGATGCATGCTCATTGTGGATAACGCATGCGACACTGATTGGCACCATTTAATAATTTAAGGCATTTCACTGGATACAGGCAACTTTAGACCTTAAACGTATACCTTACAAACAGCATGTCTTATGCATGAGCTGATGCTTTTTTAAAAGGACTTGTATTATATGCTGTCTGGTAAGGCATTGTTGATGGAAGAGACACAATGCAGGTGTTTTGCTTCATGCACATTTGATCTGTTCCAACATGCAAGCAGAACGTATTATTAGGAGTCAGTGAAATGTAGACATACCTGTAGACACTGATGCACTTTTTATCTTCAAGACTTGGAGTGTCGTCATGGTCTGTGTACTTTTTCTAATTCCCTTTTTTTTTTTTTTTAAATAACAATAAATTAATTTCAATATTTTATAACATTTTCTGGAGCTTCATGAATAAGCAGTTGAGCCAGTGTCACATTTCAGTTCATTTGCATTGTAGATGACCACATGACACTATTAGTTACCAAAGCTACATGTCATCGGCTAGTCTGCAAGTGACAGTTGGAACAAGACATCGTCAATTATTTAAGCCAGAGTCAGTTTGATTTGTCTCCTGGTGATTACACACACTTCTGTTCAAGCATCTCACAGTTGTTTTCTTTCAGTGTTAAGATAGTATGACATGATGCAAAATTGTATTTGAATGAATGAGTGATCAGATGTAGTAGCATTTTCACCTGCTGGACCATAAAAATCAGGTTAATTTTCTCAGTGCGGGCGAGGATATTACACTCACATGCTTGATTGTGAAAGCAGTGAGGTGCAGGATAAAGTGTTGTATTTAACCAATTCACACTGACTGCTTTGCAGTTGTGTTCAAGACCAAGCTCTTGCACTTATAGGTTTAAACAATAATTACAGTGTAATTATACTTTTAAGCACCGAGTAATATTATGTACACATACATGTACTAACTATATATATTTTTAATGTTTTTGAAAGAAGTCTCTTCTGCTCACCAAGGCTGTATTTATTTGATAAAAAATACAGTAAAAACAGTAAAATTGTGAAATATTACTACAATTTGAAATAACTGTTTTCTATGTGAATATCTGTTAAACTGTAATGTATTCCTGTGATGCGCAGCTGTATTTTCAGCATCATTACTCCAGTCTTCAGTGTCACGTGATCTTCAGAAATCATTCTAATATTCTGCTTTGCTGCTCAAGAAACATTTCTGATTATCATCAACGTTGAAAACAGTCGTGCTGCCCAATATTTTTGTGGAAACCGTGATGCATTACAATTCAAAGGTTTGGAGTAAGTGAGATAGTAAGAAAATAAATAAATAAATAAGAAATCATTAAATTGATCAGTATTTGATATCAATTGTCAGTAAATACATTTATAATGCCATAAAGATTTCTACTTCAAATTAATTCTGTTCTTTTGAACTTTCTATTCATCAACGAATCCAGTGTATCACAGTTTCCACAAAAATATTAAGCAGTGTTTTCAACATTGAAAATAATAAGAACAACAATTAACCACCAATAATAATTAATAATAATTGAGCAGCAAATAAGCAAATGATTTCTGAAAGATCATGTGACACTGAAGACTGGAGTAATGATGCTGGAAACTCAGCTTTGATCACAGGAATAAATTACATTTTAACATAAACTCACATAGAAAACAGTTATTAGTAAATTACTAATTATTACAATTAGTAAATTGTAATAATATTTCACAGTAGTATTGTTTCAATGTATTTTTGATCAAATAAATGTGGTGAGCATACTTTTTTCACAGTTTTCTTATGTGAATCAGATCAGTATATGAATGAAGTAACTGCTTGAAGTGACTGAGGCTGTTGACATGTACAGTATATAAAAGCCTACGTGGACTAAAACATGTATCATTTGAAATAGTTCAACACACTGCATTGCCATTTCCTCCAAATCTTATGGAAATGTTGTTCTTTGCAGAATGTAGTATAGTTAGATTAGATGTAGCCCATCACTGCAGTGATGAGAGGCATTATGCTCTAGGGCTGCACAATTAATTGAATTTCTAATCGCGATTACAATTACGGATGCCACAATTACATAATCGTTCAAAGTGGCAAATAATTGTTCAAAGTCTACTTATGTTATTCTGAGCGCCTGCGGGTTTTTTTTCTTTCTACAGGTTATCTTAAGGGGTTTTCCATTGTTTTAATTTTACTTTTAGTATAACATTATAACACCATGCATATTTTTACTTTTTTATTATTTAAAGAAGAAACCAATCCAATGTATTGTTGA